AACCCTCTCAAGGGCTAACATGACTTAAGAAAGCAAGGGAGCAGCTGCAGGTTGAACCAAGGGTGACAAGATGAAATGTCCCTATTGAAGGTAGGGACCTGCACATGGAGGCCATAGCTGAGGGCACACCAGTAGGCATGTGTGGGCAGCGGGCTCTTGCAGGTCAGTGCCAACTGAGCTTGCACGTGGCTGCTAGGAGCAGGAGCAGGATGCAGATCACAGCCCAGCACCAGTCCATGGTTGCACTGATCTTCACCCCTGTCACTCAAAAGAAGAACCGCTCAGGTTTTTTTCCTCTGCACTATGGCTGGGTTTTGTCTTTGCTTTTCTCCTCAGCATCATGTTTTGATTCAGGCTGAGTCACCCACCCCAACAAGGGCTGTGGCAGTGGCAGCTCTTCTCGGCACCTTTAAAGGTGGCCCCATTCCACTGCTGAGGTCCCCAGGCAGCAGTGGTACTGCTTGTGGCCAGAGCTGGAGACGCCGTGCCCAGCACGCAGGGAAGTGTGCCATCACCGTTGGTGGTGAGGGGCAAGTCTTGTGTCACATGTGACATCTGGCACACCTATGATGCAAAGCCACTGTATCCCACAGGGATTGGCAGCTAAAATGTTATCAGAGTGCATCTCTAAATTGAGCTGTGCTGGCTGTGGGTCCTTGGAGGCTGGTCCACAGCTGTGAGTAACCATTAACACGGACGAAGAGTGTCTTGTGTGGCCTGATGCTTTGTGTTCAAGAGCCTCGGCAACCTATTTCTTCTAATAATGTATTTTTTCCCCCTCCCTTTTAACAGAGATAATGGGATGCATTTGCACATGCCTAAGATGGACGTTCCCACATACATAACCTGCATCCAGGAGTGGCTTCTCTCCATTTCCTAATCAGTATTTCCAGCCTGGAGTCTCAACAACTTTTGCTGAGTTTGTTAGTCAGTGGGACTGATGTTGGTTGGATATGGAAGCTAGGTTCTGTTGCTTGTTCAACTTTGAACTTTAATTCAACATGGTTTAGTTCAGCTCAATTCAAACAGTATGTTATAGGTAGGTAGATATATTCACTCCAGAGGATGAGTATGAAGCAAATACAGGTAGAATCAAATATGACATCCATGCAGTCACAGAGCC